CTCAGTGTCCAGCATGTGGTAAGCACTCACTCACTACTTTACAATAATTGCAGAAGTACTAGAAGGGGTCATAATAATAGTATGTAGTATCTATCTTCTATGTACCAGGCACTAAAATACGTTCATTTATATGCATTAATAATTTCAAAATAAGGCCTGTCCACTAAGCAGGAACTATCATTCCCATTTTACAGAGGAGCAAAGAGCTTCAGTAAGGTATCAAGTCCGCTGTGTGGTAGAGCTGAGTATTGACTCTAGGATTGTCTAATTCCAAAACCCATGCATGCCTGCTCTGTGAGACCAAGCTGTGCTGAGCAGGATAACTGGGAAATTAACAAGGTTGTATCGAGACCGTGACCACTAGAAAGCTACCCTGTGCTACATGCAAGGAGATCCAATAACCTGGTCACCTTGGCCTCCTCATTTCCTTTTCTTCATGTCCCTGCCATCTCCTTTCTCCCCAACCCCAAGAAAATCTGGCTGAGAGATGGAACCCACCAGAAAGGAGTGTTGTGGGGGCTGGAGGTAGGGTTTAGACATGGCCCTGAGTAGTAGAAGATGTATGCTTGCTTGGTCAAAGTCAGAATGCCTGGCATAGGGGTGCTATGAGTTGAAGAGCCAGGCAGGCATTCTTCTGTTTGCTGACATGCTGGTGCTGGTGTGCATAGATCGCTATTCTTTGAAGCTCTTCTGCTCTGTTTACAGTTATGTCCTAGTCATTAGTCAACAGGAACTTTGGGAGAGAGAGTTCTGGGAATACTTCCTGTCAGGTTTTTCCCAGCCTTTCTCTGCAATCCACTCCGTAACCCTGGGGGTGGTCCAACGTGCCCAAAGGGATTGTGCCTTATGTTGCTCCAAAGGATTCCCAGCACTCGACCTCAAAAATAGCTCAGGGCTCAATAAGACCTTGTTGAAACAATCCCTGTTTTTGCTTAAAAACACAAGTCTGGCCTGGTCTCTGCAAGTCACCCTTAAAGAATGATTTCGCTACTTACTTTTTCAATTATATGTCACTGTAGGGTACTAATCTGTATGCTTATTTTGGCAACTCTGGGAAACGGAACAGGTTACTAGGATTCATCTGTCTGTGTGAGGATCCCCTGAGCCTTCCAAAAGAAACAGCAAAGGGATTGGGTCTGGACAATCAGACACCTGGGACACTGGGATTAGCACTTCCAAGTGAGGAGGGGAGGCAAATGCTGCCCTGGTTTCCTGGAGGAGCAGAGGGAGAGGTAAGAAAGGTGAACTGACTGTCAGGAGCCACGGAAGGAAAGGCAGCTAGGGACAGGTTGTGTGGGGCCCCACACTGATGGACACTTTCAAATATCACACACGCTGGGATCTCAAATGACATCGGGCCCAGGCCCAGGGGAGCCTTTCTAAGTTCCTCAGTGGACTACAGGGCTTTCTGAGACCCTGGAGTTGAGTCTTCTGTTCCTAGAAAGAAAGCCCAGACAGCTCATTAGATGCTTCCTGTTGACCTTTTAGTCAAAGCTATTATCAGCCATGGCTGCTGCCTGACCTCTGTCACAGCCATCTCAGCTTGTCCCTCCAAGGCCTTTTAAGAGCCAAGCTTTCGAGTCTGGAGTTTTGAATTTACACTGGACACCAAGCAACCAGCAAGCTGTCTAGACCTTCTAGGAAAGGAGGTGAGGAGGCAAAGGTGAGTGGTGGGGGGCTCAAACCAAAAACTACTGTCATTGCTGCCCGAGTCACAATAATCTCTATGATCAGGGGTCTGGGGACATTCAGATTTCTTAACAATACAGGAGAGTGATGCGGACTGGGTCAGCAGCTTCCCCTTTCTGCCACCTGTGCTTACTTCTTCCAACAGGCTCACACAAGCCCCAGCCTTTGCCCAGCCATTTGTGATCCTGATTCTCCACTGGACCACATTTCCATCTTCAGCTTCTCTCCTTTGCTGGTGACATGCTGTCGCACCCTGACTCTGTGTGCTCACTACCGAGGAAGTTAGAGCTGCTCCGCTCCTGGAAACTTGGCCCTCTTGAGTGCCAGGCATCCATGAGAGAAGCCTCCTTCTAGAAAGTACCTATGAGCACCATCATGTTAAGTAGTCAGACATGCACTGAGAACTGGGGCAGGGTGGGGAAGGGGAGGCACAAACTGTGGACAGGAGTCAAAGATGAAGGCCCCCTCCACATCATGGGCAGATCATCCAGATGTCCAGTGCAAGGGCCTGGCAGAGATGCCGTTACAGGCAGACTGAGGTGGGGATGCAAAAACACAATTCTTGGAAAGATGCTCACCTACTTTAGAAGGCACAGAAAGAACCAAGCCAAAATGTGAGAGCTTCTTCATTACCCTTCAAGGCTATTTGTCCTTAATCTTCTCTTTGTAAGAGCTGGGGCTGGCTCTGCACTCAAAAATCTCTCCCCTTTCTGCTTCCTGGAAAACTCGCTTATATCTCTACCCTTTCTATAACTTCTACATCCCTTAGAAAACTGGTCCTTCTAGGAAAATGTCACACACACACACACACACACACACACCCTCAACCTGCCATCTCACCTACTTCACACACTTGAAAATTCTCTACCTCCTTCCAATGTGAGATGGACGGGCTCCCGATGATAAGGAGGAGCCCCTCAAGCCTAAGGGGCAACCTGGATTCTGAAGCCTCACCTAAGCCCTCCCTCTGCAGACTCGGGGCAGCTGTTTCAGGCCTCTGCAGTCTCCAAAGGCAACTGAAACACAAGCTGGAAGGAGAAGGGCCTCTTGACCTAATGGTGGCACTGCCTTCATTTCCTGGGGCCCTGAGGATTAGGGCTGAACACAGTAATCCCCAAGGAAGATAAAGAAGCCAGAGGAAACCAACTTACCACTGAGTCTCACAATGATATCATTGCCACCAAAGCACCGCCCGGCGTTGGGACATAGGCGAATGAATGAGTCAGAGAAGGAGGGGCTGCAGGTGGGCGTCAGGCAGCATCACTTCTGCCATGCCACAAATACCCTTAAAATGCTTATTTTTTTAAAAAGGGGAGAAGCAAGAGGCCCAGAGAGGCTTTAATAAATTACCAAAAATAAATAATAAAATTGAGGGATGGTGAGAACGGGGTGAAGGCTGAGTGGTAAGTGAGTCAGCTCTTGAGTCTCCATCCCCCTGCCTAGACTTTAGCTCCTTTCTGCTGTGTTCTGCGCATGTGCCCTCACCCGCTAGACGGGCAGTCCCCCACCAAGCCTTCGCATTCACCATGATTCATGTGTTTTCTTTGGTTGAGGCCAATGGTTCAACCTTGGCATGGTGGGGGGTCTCTGGGATGACGAAGTGTTCTCATTAATTCCCTAGCAAGTGATGCTTCCTGTTGCAGTCGGGAGACAGGGCTTCCATTCCATTCCTTATAAAGGCATGTGTTTTTCTTGAATAAATGCTAAATAAAACGAGTCTTTATGTTTTTTTCCCTTGATCTACAACCCCATTATTCCATAAATAAAATGATGCCTTCAAAGTACACAGACTGCTTTGCAGGGTGGTCTGGAGAGACAACCGCAGACTGTGTGATGGCCTACGACACCACGCTCTTCTCTGGAAAGTCATACGGGCCACACGGCTGCCCTCTGCCAGGCCGCTAGACGCAGACAAAGGTTAGCCCAGTAACGCTTGGTCTCCCCTGTTCTTGCTAACTGCGGGGCTGGAAGTCAGCTTCCCATTGTGGAAGGAGTAGGGCCTCTTGAGGCTCTCAGAGCTGCGTGGTTGCCTTTTGATCTTGGGAACTTATTGAACTCCTGTGAGCTTTTCTTTTCATATCAGAAAAAGGGAGACAACACCACCTACTTTGTAGCACTGTTATAATCAAGGACCCGTCATTAAGCAAATGCTCGAAAACAATAGTAACTATAATAGTTAAATTTTTATTATTACCTCAATCACTGTTCTCTCAGGTTACATTATTGAAGTAAAACTGCTCATTGGAGTGTTCAGGTTATAGAGGATTTAGCTTAAATAAACATTTTGCCAAGTCTTTCAGAAGTACCATTTTCATTTCCATCCATGGTGTAGAAAATAATTCTTTATCATGTAGAATACATTTGAACCTTAGAGAATAATTGGGTACTTGGACCATTTAGCATCTTTCATCACTCTGGTTAGTATTTCTTACTGTACGGTTGGGTTTTCACTGCATAAGAGTTGGAGGGGGATGAGTTAAAGTTATATTGGGCTGTCAAAATAACAAAAACAAAACAAACTCTGCGAATTAGCAGGTCTTGTAGTTTCTTTCTTTCTCCTACAGGAAGGAGATGGGGGAAAGCACAGAATAAGAACAGATGCTTTTGAAAGCTGAGGGAGATTTTTGCTGTCTGTGGCTCCAGTGAATTGGAATGAAGAGGTCATGCCGTGGGGATGCTCCTTAGCAGACACTGGAGACAAGCTCTTCCTAGGTTTTTGCCTGAATAGACACAGGCTTCCCAGCAGGGAAAGATGTCTTTACTGTTGTATCTAAACTTGCTAAATGATCTGAAGAGACCTTTTTTTTTCATCTGTTGATAGCCGTAAATCCCTTCCTTTCTCATCTTCTCTCAAATCCCAATGCAGAGAGAGGTGACATAAAACTTCTCTTTCTCTCTCTCTCTCTCATTTGGATATAAAGTACACATTAAGCATTAACTATTAAAAGGAAGTGCCAGGATAGGTTAATGACATTTACCGATCACATTTGTTGGTCATCTCCTACTTACTATACAAAGTGTTTGTACATATACTATACATTTTAATCATCACAATAGCTCTACGGGACATATGTCCTAATTCCCATTTTACACGTAAGAAAACTGAAGTTCAGAATGGTAGGTGACGTGTGCAAAGGCAGAGCTAAGACTCAAACCCAAGACCTCTGAAATTAAAAGTCTGTACTCTCCAAAGAAAGGCAACTGAGTCTAGAATAACTAATAATTGTAAAATATTATAATTAAAAGTGAGCCACTGAAGACATATCTTTACTTTAAAAAGGAGGAGCAGCTGTGCCATGGTTTTTGTAGCTATGGCTTCTCCCATTGGTCTGAGCCTTGCCAGCCTCCCCACCCCACCTCTCAGGAGACCCTGCTCCACTAGAACCGTGTGTGACCAAAAGGTGGCGATCAAAAATGGTGATATGTCGGAGGAGACGCAACAGGGCTCTGTGGAATGTGCTACTCAGGCGTTGGAGAAGCATAACATAGAGAAGCACATTGTGGCCCATATTAAGAAGGACTTTGATAAGAGGTACAACCGCACCTGGCACAGCATCATGGGGGAGAACTTTAGTAGTTGCATGACACATGAAACCAAACACTTCATCTACTGCTACCTGGGCCAAGTGGCCATTCTTATGTTCAAATCTGGTTAAAAGCATGGACTGGATCACACACCCAGTGATTCATCCAAAAGTAAGGATTGCAGCCTAAATTCCAAATACCAGAGACTGAAATCTTCAGCCTTACTTAAAGGAACACCTTGATCCTTTTTTGGTTTTGTTTTTCTAATCCTCACCCAAGGACATGCTGAGAGAGGAGGGGAGAGAGAGAGAGAGAGAGAGAGAGAGAGAGAGAGAGAGAAAGAGGTCCACCAGAGAGGGGACCAAACCCAGGTATTCCCATGACCTGGAATCGAACCAGCAACCTTTCCAGGCACAGGACAAGGCTCAACCAACTGAGCCACCCCAGCTGGGCAGAACACCTTGATTTTGAACTTTCATTGGATTGTTTTGTACAGGGCATTCTCTATATTCATTTGTTGTGGCTATAAAACAATTAGCGCAATAGCTTACATTGTATTTATTTTCTATTCCATATCTCTCTGCCCCATGTTTTTCCTCCTCAAAATCCATTCCCTTCCGCCCCCCCCCCAAATAAATCTGTTGGAGAAAAAAAATTAAATTAAAATAAAGAAGACGAAACTAAAGTCCAAAGGGGCAAAATCATTTGCTTAGGATCACACAGCTCATCAGCAGCAAAGCCAAGTCTAGAACCCAAGAATCTTTCCACTATTCTTTGATGACCCTTGAAGGAACTCCCTAAAGAATAAGTTCTTAGGATAAACACTAAGGTGCTCCTCTTGTTGAATGTGAATGAAAAGCTTTCAGTTTTTTTCTCTATTTCCCTGATTTGGATCTCATCATGGAATCTATGAATGGTAATCGACCTGATTTCTCTGAACAGACTGGGTGCTGCAAATACACCAAGAGCAATTGATGGAGACTCTAGCTTTAGTGTTCCAGATTCCTCTGAGAACCTGAGATCTTCTTCATATCCCTCCTATGTCTATATGACTCTCACATGAAGGCATGAAAAGCAACTATCATCTCTGTTTTAAAAATTAGTTGTGTTCTATTGAAATTGTTCAAATGTAAAAAAAAACAACAATTTCACATCATTGCAACAGTACCATATTTAAAAGGAAAATGTTAAGACCTTAGTAAGAAGTATGAAAATATTTGTAAGACTCTAAGTTAATGTTTCTAAGCATCTTCCCATCTCTGTGAGAAGTTTGTCTTGTATTTCCATGCCAGCTCACGAGTGTAGTATGCATAGAGGTTAGACTCAAAGGCTGTGGAGTTAGATGCCTGGATGACAACCTTAGTTCCTAGCCCCACCATTTGCTGGCAAATTTCTTCAACTCCTAATCCTCAATTTCTCATCTACTGATTGAAGAGTGATAAAATATATGGCAGAGACTGCTTGTTTTCTCCCCAATAACAATTCTCCCCTATTTCTTAGCTAATAGAACCCTGATTTTATTTGGGATGGAGTATATGTCTGGCCTTGTTGCAACGTTGGGTAAAAAATAAGATATAACTGGAAGTCATCATGTGAGGGCTCCAAAATTTCTCCAAAAAGAATTACTGATCTAGAAAGTTGTTCCCTTTTGCTCTACTCCCAGTTCCTCTTTTTTTCTGTCTGGAACTCAGATAAGTATCTGGAACTCTGCAGCCGTCTTGGAGCATGAGGATCCAAGCCCTGTACCAAAGGTGGTAGAAGAGAAATATAAAAGGAGCCTGGGTCCACGGTGACCAAAAAGACACCATACCAACCTGAACCACCCAGCTCCGGAATTTTTTTACATAAAAGTAGAGTAAGTTGTTGTTGTTGTTGTAAAATTGTGCACCTGAAACCTGTATAATTTCGTTAGCCAGTGTCACCCCAATAAAGTTGATCTTAAAAAGCAATTTTTTATTTTAATATACTTATTTGGAATTAACTATTATATACACTCAAATCTAATGCTGACTGGGATACAAATATCAAAGATCTTATAATAAGTAATTAAGATAATTCATTTAAAACATGTTTAGGGCCTGGCATTTAGTAAGCCCTCAATAAATGTTAGTTGCTGCTACTGCTATTATTTTTTTAATATGTTTTTATTGATTTTTAGAGAGAGAGGAAAGGAGACGGATAGAGAGAGAGACACATCGATGAGAAAGAAACATCATCAATTGGCTGCCTCCTGCACGGCCCCCAGCAGGGATCGAGCTCGAAACCCAGGCACGTGCCCTGGCTGGGAACCAAACCGTGACCTCTTAGTTCCTGGGTCGGCACTCAACCACTAAGCCACACTGGCCGGGCACAGCTACCGCTATTATTAACATTGTTAACTGTTATGATTAGTATTACACCACCAACAGTGTTATGTCTTATCTTCCCCATGCTTCCCATATAAGTTCCTTGAGAGCAAACTTTGTATTTTACTCCTTTTTGTAGGCCTGCCACTGCACCCTGTACATAATTTTTTAAAGATATCTTCTACTTACAGGGAAAGTAATTTTAAGTTTATTTTTAGTTAAATCTGCTAATTAGAATCAAATTAATAAATCATTGATAATAAAACCTGGAGAAATAAAACCAATTTTTACATAGGTGTTTGTATTTCCTAATTCTTGTTTTAAAGTATATATTGCTTTAGTTATATGTGAATTAGCAACCAATTTGGTTAATTTATATTGTTAATAAAACATTATCTTTTTTTACAAAAAAACATGGAAAGTCTGGCCTCTGGACCCGAAAACCATCTGCCACACCCATCACCAAGCTCTAGCTGTCCTGTTTTATTACCGTGCCTATCTTTCACTGAGCACTTACTATGAACCAGGTACCGGGCTGAGCACTTTCTGTACCTTGCCTGAATTCATCATTAATATCAATTTGTGGGAGAGCTATGGTTACTTCCAACACTTTTTGTAGAGTTAGAACCTAGAAAGATATATTCTAATGAATGTCAGTTTTTCAAACTCAAGCCAAATGACAGAAAATATTTCTTAAGAGATTTGAGCCTATAGAAAATTAACAGTTTTGCTTTATTCTATGTTTATTTCCTTTTTCAGAGACTCAGAGAAGAAACAAAGTCTTAAAAAGAGAAAAGAAAGCTTAATTATTCATTTCCCATTTTCTCTAAAATAATCTCCTTTAAAAAATAAACATAAAAATGATGTTCTTAACCACCAGTTAGAAAAAAAATGAGTGTGGATTGAGGAAGTCTTTAGAAATACTTTTCTGCCTCCTTCTCATCCCCCATTTTTGGGGCAAGCTCCCCACTTCCGAGGCCTGCCTGGATCACCCTCCACTGTGCCCATCAGCAGGGAATCCTCTTGCCCACCCCACAACTCACACCCTTGTATTTCATACCTGATTCTTCCCATATTTCTAATTCACAAGCTTTGTCTCTCAGTCTTACTCTACATGTTCATTTCTGCGCAATAAGTTTGGAGAATAGTGATTTTGTATGTCAAATTAAATGCATACAAATAAGAGGCTACGCTGCTTAGCACACCAGCATTGTCACGAGTTTGTTTAGGGGCACTGAGAACCGGCTAAGCCCACAAAAGCTGCTCTGTGGACTATTTTACACAGTTATTTGGTTCAACTGGGTATTGTTTTTTAAAGCCACATTGAAATCAAAGTGTTTTCCCAGGCTCTTGGCGTGCCCGGGTCAAGAATGCTGACAATCTCCTGTCAGAGAGAGGCTGTCAGCATCACCCCCTATCAGGCCTCCCAGTCATCGCTTGAAGAGCAAGCAGGCAACCCGCTGCCTTGTGACAAGCGCTGTGACTCCGAGGGAGCCAAGTGCTATGAATGAAGCCCTGTAAAAGGTCATTTTATGTAAGAGGAAAGAATGGCGTCACCCAGGGCGCATACATAATTTTGAATTAAAAACTTGTTTACTGGATGCTGGAGTACAAGTACTTACTAGGGATCCCTCCCCTCCCCACCTCACCCCCACCCCCATCCTCTCATTAAAAGGTACGAGTCCTGAAATCTCCAAATTGCCTGGTTTGGGGTAGTGAATGTCCTGGGTAGGGGATGAACTGTTATTTTTGACTGGATTTTGAGCTTTGTGGATTATAGTCACCTAGTTCCCTGGAAGTGGAGTGACAAGTTTGACCACCCCAACTGTGGGATATGGTGGTTGCCAATGAGTCCATTACCCTGGACACACCTTCTTCAGAGAGTATCTCTCCTGACACACAGAGAGGCGAGAAAAGCCAGTCAGCTACCTCCTTAAGCAACTGTATAAACATTCAAATCACTTCAACATTTTTCAGCTCCAGAGATAATTTCAAGACCTTGGGGTGGGGATGGGGGCAGTTAGTAACACCGGAAACATTCCATGAATATTTTAAGAGTTGTGTGATAAAATAAATTCCAAACAGCTTTTAACTCAGTTTCTAAATAAATATTTTCAATTAATTTTCAAAAAAGGATATTCTAACAGCCATATTTTAAAATATGTTAGTTTCAAAATATGTATCTGCTTTCTTCTGTGAATTTTCTGCTTGCTTAAGGTTTTTGTTTAACCACATGGATGATATTTGGAAGGTCGAAGTCAGAACTCATTTTTGAAAACTGTAGAATTAAAGTTTATTTTCAATATTTATAAACCCCTTGAGACAGTTTATATAATTTAAATAAAAATGTATATCTTTGTACCTTTGGAAGGGTGGAGGGGAGGTGATATCTGAAATTCTCAAGTAATTATTGCAAGAATGACACCTTGAATTTACAAAGTAGTGGGACAATGGAAAGAGCACTAATTAACAATCAAGGGAGCTGGGTTTGGTTTATAATCCTGTCCCTGACTAATTGGTTGTGTCCATGGGCAGCTTACTGGCCCCTCCTGGGTTCACTTCCTTCCTCTGCAAAAAGGGGAGGGATGAAGGCGACTTTGTCTAAACTCCTAAAATTCCATTTTTGGCTCTGGTCTCAAACTCACCATTTATACTGATAGAGGGGAGGTTTTATTGCCTACTATTTTGAAGAAGGCAAATACAAATCAGGGCCCACCAGCTTGAGACAGCCATGCAGCTCAGGTCTTCCAGCAGCTACCTGGCACTTTTTATAGGCATCAGGAACTTCATGAGAACCTCCGGCAATCATTACAATTATTCTTTGTGAGCCAGTGCATTGTGGCAAGGAACAGATTCACCCTCACACCTGCAACCATAACTCATATACCGATCACTACCTTAATAGTCTCCCGTGCTGTCAGAAACTGAAAGAGTAAGTTACTACGGTATTCTTCCACTAAGACTGAGCTATTCCCTCCAGCGGCGGTGTCGAAACAGGGCAACAGGCCATTACAAAGGGACTTGGCACCACCACAGACCACTGCTTTGTAACAGGGGTTTAGGCCGGCTGGGGCCAACCCTCAAAGCAGGATGCTCAAAGCTCTGGGGAAGCCAGCTCTGCCCAGTGCTGTCTCAAACCCTTCAGATGTCAGGTTCTGCAACAAAAACTCACCAACTCATCTCCATGAGCCATGAAAGTTACTAGCAAGAAAAGTGAATACATAAATACACCCCCCCACACACGCACCCCACACAAATGTATGTATTGGGGGTTGCTTGGAAGGATCATTACAGGCAGGTATGTTTACAAACTGCAGCTGAGCTTAGTAGAAATAAACATTTTTTCAGCAGCTAAATAGTAGAAAGAGAGTATGTCTAAAACTATTGCAAGTTTGGCTTCTTCGTGCTTAGTCACAAAGCCAGGCTGCTCTCTCGAGGCAGTGAGTCAGCCCTGACAGAGCAAGCCACGCCACTCGGAGGGGTGGCGACCGCCAAGTACAAAACACTTGCAAAATAACTGAGCTGTTGGCTCCGGCAGGAACCGAGCTGCATATGAGTTCTCAGCTTCAGGAGAAAGCCGGTGGACGACCGTGACGTAATTACAGCTTTGAAACACCTCAAGAGTCATTTCCCGTTTCTTTCCGTGCAGCAGTTGAACACTCATCAGTGACTCTGGAAGCACAGGATATCTGGTCTTAAAGGCCAGCAGGGCATGGCTGCTCAGCCTGGTATAAAGGGCTTTGGTGGGGTTTGAGAGTATGCAGCATCACCACGTGGACTATTTTTTTCAAGTTTTCATATCCAGAGTTCAACTAAGTATCAAATGCTTCAGGTTAATGCCCTGGCAGGGAGCAAGCCACTCCCACATCTAACATATCTCAGCAGTTAATTCTGACTCTGCAGCAAAGGGTAGAAAAGTGGAGCTCTCTGTCTTCAAGCTCTAAAAATCCCTTCAAAACAAAAGATAAAATCAGATTCAGAACAACCCTCAGACCAAGGAGATGTGCCTGCGTCAACAGTCCACTCCAGGTCATCTAAATCTCCAAAGTCTTCTTGCCCCGGCCTATGCCATCTTTGATAACCAGACTCACTCTGCAGGCGAGTAAGGCCAGGGCTTTAGAACACCCATCTCATGGGATTTACTTGCCTTTCCGTGTGGTGAGGGTTTCCAACAAGGTCTTTGAGAAACAAGCAAAGCAAGGAAGAAGACTTCGATGGATAGATAGATTCATGTGATCAGTGAGTTCATTAATCAGGTTTGCCTGTGCAATTTTGGAGAGTTGCAATGTTGTGTTCATATGATTCTTTCCACTTAATATAAATATAAATTTGGCTTGAGTTCTACAAAAAACTAGGAATTACTTAATGCTATTTTTAGTTGCAAAAATATCCTGTTTTTAAATCCAAATTATTTGGATTGAAATATACATTATATCTATATTTATATAGGTATAATGGACATAGAAACATCTAATCCTTCTTAAAATGGTCTCTAGATCATATTTTCCTTTACATAATGCTTTACTACAAGTAGAGTTGGTTAGACAGTGGCTCTGGAACTCACACTCCTGCAGATTTCACTGCCACTTCATAGTATATCTATCATAGCTCCTCAAGGGTGGGGCTAATATTCCCACTCACAGGTGAGCGGACTAAAGCTCAGAAAGATTAAATGTACTGCCTAATGTCACAAGACTAATCAGAGTCAGAACCAGAACCCAAGTCCATCCATGAATCCAAGTCCATCCATGCTCTTTTCAATATAATGTATGCAAGAAGGTATTATTACCGCAGTATTGATAACAGCATAAACACAGACACTCACTAGATGACAACAGACAAATGAAATAATACATCAACTCAGTAGGATATTATGCTGTCATTAAAATTATGACTTTAGATAGTAACAAGGAAGATGATAGCTACTGTGTATTGAATGCTTACTCTATGAAAGGAAGAGCAACAGTCCTTTGTGTGAATTATCTGATTTTGAGTTCACAACTGCATGAGACAGGTGCTATCACTGTCTGTATATTACATGTGAAACTGAGGCTAAAATAAATTAAATCACTTGCCCAAGGGAACTCAGCTAAAAAGAACAAGATTATCTGACTCAACCTTAGCACTACGGACATTTTGGGCTGAATAATTTTTTGTTGTAGAGGAATGTCCTGTGCATTGTAGGATATTTAGCAGTACCTCTGACCTATATCACCAGCTGTGAAAATGAAAAGTGTCTCCAGCTTGTCCAATGTCTCCTGAGGGACAAAATCACTCCAGGTTGAGAGCAATACTCTAAAGCACAGACTTAACCACTAGGCTCTACACCTCCTTCCGTCATCACCAGCCCTCCTACAGAAACATGGTTTCCTACAGAAGCATATTTTTTTTTCACACGCGCATAGTCACAGACAGGATTCCTTGAGAAACAGGTTCTGAGACTCTGAGATTTGACTGCAGGAGGTTTGAGTGGGAAGAGGGGGAGAAAGGGCAGTGTTCTTGGGAACCTCACCTGTAAGGAAGCCAGGGAAACAGACCTGGGCGGAGGGAGAGTTGAACTGCCAGTTCATTATTGAGACAGGCCTCTGCCAATTCTACAGGGAGCTCTGGGGCTGGAATGGCCCTTACAGTTGTCCTGATTGAGACAACAGGGCCTGGTCTTTTCTTTTCTTTTTTAATTATTTTTATTTATAGATTTGAGAGAGAGCAATTTGTTGTCCCACCCATGTGCTCTGACTGGGGATTGAACCCACAATTTTGGCATTACAGGACAACACTCTAACCAACTGAGCTACCCACCCAGGGTTCATTTCTTCTTAAAAAAAAAAAAAAACAAAAGAAAAAAACAACAAAAAGTCCTGCTTAAAACAGTATAGTAATAAAGCTGTCAATGTAAGACTATGCTAAGGGATATAAATTTGCCTTCAAACTTTCTATTTTAAAGTTTTTTGAGATTTAAAGGTCTTTAGATGCCAGTGGAGATTGTAAGAGTAAAGTTATGCTATTTTTCTTTAAAACATTAGGCCTCTCTTCTGCTCTCAACATAAAACAGGAAGCTAAAGGGCTTGTTTGTTGTAAAGCCCATGAACAATCTGAGAATAGACCATTTTTGAGGTTGGAAATTTATTTTTAAAAACAATACCTGGGCGTTGTGAATATAGCATATAAAAATCCACTCAGATCTTTTGGGCTTTACAACAGACAAGCCCTTTAGAACCCTTTTCCCATAGGAATGCATAGTGTCCATGCCCCGTGAGCAAGGCCTTCAAAAGGTCCACAGGTCGGTCATCTCATTCAATACTTTATTTGAAATGGAATGCATTTTTAAAATATGAAAAATAAATCACATCTCTCCAAATCATATAAGAGACATATTTACACATATTATGACCAAGAATGTGATGGTAAAGTATTTGGTACATGGTGATACTTGTTTTTCAGAAGCTGGCATTTGCATATTCTGAAACTAAGCAGAAAGCTGACAGTGGAATGTAACAGACAATCATTTTATCTTTCTTCTCAAAATAAATACAGTGATCTGGAAGAACCACCTATTATTAAAATCTGCTTCCTCACTACGCAGCTGATAGCCAGAGGCCAGCTTCAGAGCAGATAGGAGTAGGCCGCTCCAGCTTTTCCGCAGATGCTTCTAATGACCAGTCTTTCTGCTTCCTTCCCTGGACAGTGATGCCCTAAGAGAACCCTGTTGGATCCTATACTCCATTTGGCAGATGTCCAGCCAATGAAGTCGCAGATTACTTTGTCATCCAATGTTGTGTAAATCTAGGTTGGCTGTACAATATGCAGATCAAAAAGTCACCCTTCAAATTGTGTCCAAACTTTAGAAAGTAGTTCTTAAAAAACCAATCCAACACAATTTCACAATTAATACATCTTAGATTGCTTTGGGTAAATTGGTATATTTCTCTTGAGAGAACCACTGATGGATTCAATGTCAAGCTCTGTAATTTCCAAATTTCAATCTTATTCTGCTCAAGGCATTTTATTGGTAAAGCAAAAAGGAGTTTCACATTTACCACAAAATAAAAGAGAGAGAAAAGGAATGCGCACAGGCCCATCCTCATCAGGCAAAGCTCTACGTTCTGTGGGATTGCTCTAGTTGCACGTCAGTCTTAGACCCCTCTTCTAAACCTGCCATGAACATGATAATGTAAACACTTGGAGACAAGCTAAAACCAAGTCACTTTCCCTGGGGACAGAAAACAAGTGATGTGTTTGAACTCCCACACTGGCAACAAACTTGTAGCGTCAGATTTAAAATGAGGAATCTTTAAGAAAAATAGCTATGTGAGGGCAGAAAAGTGATTTTTTTTTTTTTTTTAAAAGGGCTTTGAACTTAAGCCAGACTTCCTAACAGTGTTTACGTATCAGGGAAACTCTTTTAAGCAACGAGTTGGGTTTTTTCCTACCTCCATTTGAGAAAATGTTAAGTGAAATTATAAAGTTGGTTTGATTTCTATATGAGAAAATGCCAGCTTCCTCTCTGAGGGAAATGTTCATTTTGAAAGGGCCCTTTATGGCCATTTACTCTGACCTCAGCAACCCCTGTAGGGCATAAACAGATCTGTGATTTCCGCTCAGAAAGTATGCTTAAGGAGCTTCGCCGTGTCATGTTGTGTAGCCTGTCCCAGTATTAGTTGTTCTCAGGGAATGAAATGAGCGTAAAGGAAGCACAGTGTGAGGCAAGAGAAGCCACCTCCTGGGTGCTGGGAAGTTACACATTTTTTCCTTCTTTCATTCATTTGTCCCAACAAATAGCTACTGAGCTATGTATGAGGCTTGGCGCCAACAGAAGTTCAAAGACAAAAGTTCAGTTTCCAGATGGGACATTCCTTTTAATTTTCCAACTTTTTACATTTTATGTTTATTTAAGGGGTGGGTTTTTCCTTGGACCTGCCCTTTCCTTCTTCCTTTACTTGGGATGAAAGGAGTACTTATATCTTTTTCCATGAAGGAGATTGGTTAGGCCTTGTAATACCTCACGTGGTTTATATCACTTTTGTATAGGTAGAATAGAACCACTGACACATTAAATGATTTGCATTTGTATTTTGTTTTGTTGAGCTTTGTTAAGCATAGTTGTTTCTTTGTACTGGAAGAATCATTCAACCATAATAATTTCAAAGTGTCAAAACACAAAAACCATCCTACTCCTCTCCTTTCTCATTTCTCAGGCTTCACAGTTAAATGCTAAGAGACCTTCAGACTAGAGAGCTACTAAGAGGCTCTCAACATAAATATCACAGTGGACCAAGGACTAAGGGTTATGGAAAGACAGGACAAGGAACCATGACTCTGGTGGCTGCATTAAGAATCGTAGACATTGGGGCGGGGGGAGGGAATCCACCAGCCGGTACTTAGCCTATATATAAGCTAACAACTTACATGAATCTTAATTTTAAAAGTACTTGGTATACATTTTATCTTTTTTATAGCACAAGAATTTGAAAGAAAAATCCTTCTATCTGGAAAAAAGCTGTGTTTTAATAGGGGTTATATGATCTACATATATTAAAACACCAGTACAACAAGGCAGTATCTAAAAAGTACAGCAGTGGTCCCAAAGCTGAACCAAACTGCTTAAGAACTCATTTAGATCTGGCTTTCTGAGCTGCCCATATTTGTGTGTGTGTACATATATGATTTTTTAAATCTTTGCAGCATATTTTCACAGCAGCAACTTAAACAGCCACTGGAAGAGGCATTCTGCTTAAGTTCTGTTTGCCATTTGCTCAAATTTTAGTTTACCCCTGCAACTTTTTGGATTATAGTTATGAGCTCAGAATTCCATCATTTAAATATTGCACTAACAAAGTAATTTGATCATGAAACTCCTTTCTGGATGGAGGGGGCAAAGACATCTCTAATATAAAATTCTGTTTTCATCTCTTGACTACATAACTTAGCATCAGGCTAATACTGACCTTTCCAATTTGGATGCTAGAAAAATACTGATCAAGACTTTGTGAAAGACAATGGAAAACAGAGACCCGTTAGTAAAGCCATACAGATAGGAAGTGAGTTTTCAGCCCCAAGAGGATTTTGTGTCTCTATGGCTCTCTTTAAACTGAAGTAGCATCTGCCCTTGTGGATTTTGACCATCCCTTTGATTTAACACAGAAGAGGGTTTGTTCTACCTTTAAAAGCTCATCTCCGCGCCCCCTCCTGCCCAATAACGCCTCGTGAACAAGTGGCTGCTGAAACAAGACTGGGGTTGTTTTCCTACTGAAAATCCGGTGTTTATCCAGTCCTTCCTTTTTCAATTTCTGAGTTTAGTTAACCTAACAACAAAACATATAACCCTTCAATTTTGCAAAGAGCAATAAAAAAAGCAAAAGAGTTGGTTTCTCTGATCAACATTATTTTCAGTAAGAAAACAAAAAGTTATGACTCTTAGTTCTTTGAAATAGTTATAAACTGTCTTTTTAAACTCTAAGATTCTAGGGTATGCTTCTAGAATAGAGTAAGAAAATGTGGTTCAAGTAAAGTGTGCAAAGCCCTTGGAGAAGGGTCATCTCCAGTGTGGACAGAACACAAAAATGTTCTCTCCCACAAGTGGAATGATTCCCTTTTCCCCACTATGTTTTTTGAAATGAAACACCTAATGCATTTATACTCAGAAACCATAGAAATCTCCGTATTAAACCCTTCAGATGACATAAGCAAGGTTTTTCCTAAAGTAGACCCAGCCCTACCACACCTTCAAGATCATCCTGCCATCAGCTGGGCTAGGTTTTAAATATTTTGAATTAGATATCACTATTACTTATTTCCTTTTAGAAAGACAATTAGATTTTCATAATTACACAATTCTGAACACTTAGCTTCTTTAAACTTCAATTCTATACAACATATATGTCTAAGAAAAAAACCTCAAAAAAAAAGTTGTATCACAGAGTTTAATTTCAACCACCTGGCATAACAGTGAGTCAGGGTTCTGAAAATGCCCTAGGAAGAGTGAATGAATGAATTCCCCTACACCACCCTTTCTTTCCTTTCCAAGATTAGAACTTACTAGGGAATAGGTTTTTGAAAATAAACTTCCTTTTTTTTTTTTTTTTTGGAAAATGGCCTACATTCAGAAATGTCTTAGAACAAATATTTTTTAAAAAACAAAACTAATAAATAATCATAAACCAAAATACATTAAAATAAAATTACAGTACATATCGCTCCTAGAAGGTCCACCATACTGGAAGGTCCTTTCAAAGGTTCATAAATAAAGCCCTCTGGACTTGAAATCCTTTCCTGCACTGTGATGAAGAAGGGTATGCAGAAAACTAAGAGGAATCACAAGTTATCAAGTCGGGTGATGTCCAAACTACTCCGTCGGGTGCGGGGCAGGGAGACTTGTTTTCCATCCCAGTGAAGACAATAGAAAGGTGCTGTCCCGCTTCCTCAAGTCCTCAAAACCTGGAAAGAAAGGGCACAGAGTGAAGCAGGGGGCAGGTTCCCGCAAGGCGCAGCTCTCGCCGCGCGTCAGGCGCACGGAGCGTGCTCGCTGAGACGACGCCAGGGCCGCTCCCTCAGGTGCCCGGGCCCGCAAAAGGCCCGGCGCTGTCGCCGGGGTGCCCGGCGCC